TAAACTGATATCTAACAGCTCTATTTAGATAATCTATTAAGCTTTTGTGAGCGCTATGTGTGGAAATTGCACTTAATTTTGTGTCAAATGTATTTATCTATTTATTTGTATTTATTATATTTGATTATTTGTCAATTGCTCTCAAATGGTTTACTTGTGCATTGTTCTTTGAATTGTTATTTATATCTCTAAATTGTAAGTCTACAAATGAATTTACCAAATCTGTGTGGTTGTCCTATTTTGTGCAGTTCTACTTCTGTCATTCCATAAGAGAGTTGCAATACACCATGGCCTCTGTCCATGTTGACTTATGTGTGAGTTTTGACTTTTTTATGACACTTCTCTCAGTTAATTGTTGTCCATGTCATTTTATTCCCTAGCCACTGTTATGAAACCAATGCAAAAAAGCCTAAAGTGTAATAAAATCCTGACAGAGAATCCTTCAATTATCATGTGCCTGTTTGTGTTCTTGTTGTGAGCCATAACTTTGACCGAAAACTTCTAAATGGATTTCATAAGGGTCTATAGCGCGGCCACGTTCAGCCAAACTTTGTCCAACCTTGCAGATAGACATTTCATGAATAGAGCCTACATGATTCCTTATTCTATATGTTAGAGAGGCATGTTTGTTCTACGTAGCATATATCTGAACGTTCCAAAACGTTGCGTCATGCTGAACGGGCCGCAATGATGGAGTAAATCAATGGGGTAAATGAAACGTTGGTCCTTTATTGACCAATCACGATGTCGATTGCCAAGTAGACAAACAGGAAGTCAGGCCGCTAGCTAATCACTTCAGTAAATCTGAGATTACTTGTTCTTGAAAGTCAGCTCCAATTCAGACAAGTTTTTTGTTGACAGTAGTTTTGTAAGTGAAACATACAAGATGACAGATGTGTAAATAAAAGGTAAGAGGACAAATTATCGACCAGCTATAAAGAGCTCTGGAGAGAAGAACAGCTAACATTAGCTTGTTTACAGAATATAAGAAGACATGGACGTCGTTGGCTAGCTAGATAACGTTAGCTCGCTGTCAATTAGCTATTAGCTCACTAGCTATGTAAATTAGTTAGCAAATTAGCTAGCGTGCATTGAGTTAGCTTAAGATTTGAAAGCAATATACAATATTTTTGTTAGCAATATTTTTCCAATGTAACGTTAGAACACATTCAGCCAGCAAGAAGCTCGTCATTGACAAATGAATGCCAACGTGCTTGCCATTGGCATTATGTTGGAAAAAATGTTGACGATTCATCTGTAATGTTAAGAGACATGTAACTAGCTACCTCAATTCTAGGCGTGTCACTGTAATGTTAGCTGGTTGTCAACACAAGTATTATTACTTACGTTAAACAATTCAGTTGCTGACTTATCACACAGTTTATCACAGATTGTTAGCTCGCTACTGATATAGGCTTGCCAGCTACAAAATATTTCAATGTATATTAAACAGTTGGATACTAATTACATACGAAGGCAGGTATAGTTCTACTGTGTGAGTAACTGCATTTTCAGTGTCTGCTTAAAAGAAAGTGCTGCTCCACCATTATTTGCCCAGAAGATACTGACCCTACCGTTACGCTTGTTTAAACTGAGCTACACTGGGGTCAGAACGCAATCATGGTTACCATCATTAAGTTTGCCGACGACACAACAGTGGTAGGCCTGATCACCGACAACGATGAGACAGCCTATAGGGAGGAGGTCAGAGACCTGGCCGTGTGGTGCCAGGACAACAACCTCTCCCTCAACGTGACCAAGACAAAGGAGATGATTGTGGACTACAGGAAAAAAAAGAGGACTGAGCACGCCCCCATTCTCATCAACGGGGCTGTAGTGGAACAGGTTGAGAGCTTCAAGTTCCTTGGTGTCCACATCACCAACGAACTATCATGGTCCAAACACACCAAGACAGTCGTGAAGAGGGCACGACAATGCCTATTCCCCCTCAGGAGACTGAAAAGATTTGGCATGGGTCCTCAGATCCTCAAAAAATTCTACAGCTGCACCATCGAGAGCATCCTGACTGGTTGCATCACCGCCTGGTATGGCAACTGCTTGGCCTCCGACCGCAAGGCACTACAGAGGGTAGTGCGTACGGCCCAGTACATCACTGGGGCCAAGCTTCCTGCCATCCAGGACCTCTATACCAGGCGGTGTCAGAGGAAGGCCCTCAAAATTTTCTTTAGACTCCAGCCACCCTAGTCATAGACTGTTCTCTCTGCTACCGCACGGCAAGCGGTACCGGAGTGCCAAGTCTAGGTCCAAAAGACTTCTCAACAGCTTCTACCCCCAAGCCATAAGACTCCTGAACAGCTAATCATGGCTACCCAGACTATTTGCACTGCCCCCCCCCCACCCCATCCTTTTACGCTGCTGCTACTCTAATTATTTATGCATAGTCACTTTAACTCTACCCACATGTACATATTACTTCAACTACCTCAACTAGCCGGTGCCCCCGCACATTGACTCTGCACCGTTTTATTTTTACTTTTTTTGTTAAAAATAAATGCACTGTTGGTTAATGGCTGTAAGTAAGCATTTCACTGTAATGTCTGCACCTGTTGTATTCGGCCCATGTGGCCAATAAAATTTGATTTGATTTGATTTAAGACACTGTGGAGCCAGCGCGAGATATGGCTCGAAAAACGTACTATTATGTTGCGTGCAATCAATATCTATCAGTTTACATCAGAGCTTTGCCCCTGATGGTAATCAAGGTTTTTTCTTTGCTGAATACTCATTGCTGTGTCCACTCTCAGGTTGCTATGGCAATAAGGAAACGACCTCCAGACTCTAGACAGTTGGTCAAGCCCAGTAGTCATGAACCCCAGTTCTCCCTGTGAGGGCCAGAGCCCTGAGGGTGACCCTCCAGAAGATTGGTTCCACCTCTCCACCGTGTCTCTGGGAACTCAGGGCTCTTATGGAAGCCAGGATGACCCAGAGGAACCTGAGGAGAGAGGCAGACTCAAGTCCAAGTTGGTGTCAGCATGGAACAATGTCAAATATGGTATGTGTGCCTAGAACCTTTTTGACCTAACAGTGACCAGTCACTTACTGTTGTTTGTCATTTTATAGTTTGTTTTCCTTTGCCCATCCAGGCTGGTCATTCAAGTCAAAGGCCCGCTTCAGCAAGACCTCTCCTCTGACCATGCTTGGACAGTCTTATTTGCTCAGTCATGGAGGTGAGAGATGTCCTGTTGGTTGGGTAACTCCACCCTTTTAAAAAGGGTAAACTGGTATGTAACTGTATTTGAGACAATTCTATATTCAAGGCCAGTGTCTGTCCTGTGTTTTGTCAGTGGAGAGGGAGTGCTTTCTCCGGGCCTTTGCCACTCTGCTGTGGCTAACGTACAGGCGGGGCTTCCCACAGCTGGATGGTTCTTCTCTGACCACAGACAGTGGCTGGGGCTGCATGCTGCGCAGTGGACAGATGCTGCTGGCACAGGGGCTGCTGCTACACCTGCTTCCGCCAGGTAATATAAAAAACACACTTGTGCACGTGGGACACACACATACATACATACATACATACATGTTTCCAGCAGCATCTCAAAGTATCTCCTGAGTAACACACTACTACAGTTTATCAGTACATAGCCTTGTCCCTCTCTATTGTTGCCAGGCTGGACCTGGCTCTCTGCCCACCATGTGTTCAAAGATGACATGGAGGTACAGGAGTCTCGCTCCTTGGGTCCAGAGGTGACTAAGAAGGGAAGGAGGAAGAGCATAGCATCCTTCCCGGAGAGCCGGACTGACGTCACTCACAGACGGGTGGTGTCCTGGTTTGGGGACCATCCCATCGCCCCGTTCGGGCTGCACCAGCTGGTGAAACAGGGCACAAGCTCAGGGAAGAAGGCGGGGGACTGGTACGGCCCCTCCATCGTAGCACACATACTTCGGTGAGAACTTAGAAGAAGCTAAACCTGCCCTCTCCCCCCCCCAGCCATCTGCATTCAGGACAATACATCTTCCCTTAGTGATGTGGGGTATCTGTTTGTTTTAGTAAGGCTGTTGAAGCAGCATCAGCAGAGGTGTCCAATCTGACAGTGTATGTAGCACAGGACTGCACTGGTGAGTGTTCCCTTGTTATCTCATTCTCACTATTTGGCAGGGTGCCCATCAGACTAGTAATAGATGGTATCATTATGTGGTTCCTGTCCCTGTGTAGTGTACATAGATGACGTGGTGAGAATGTGTGAGCGACCTCTATCTGAGGGCTCCAAAGGACCCAGTCCAGCCTGGAAGTCTGTCATCATCCTGGTCCCTGTGCGCCTGGGAGGAGAAGTCCTCAACCCCACCTACATCAAATGTGTCAAAGTATGTGTCAAATCAGAGTAACATGCTAGAGACATGCACACAGACACTGACAACCACAAAACACAGTGAGAGATTGGTAAATCATGCTTGTGTTTTTATCTATCCATAGAACCTCCTGAGGTTAGAATGCTGCATTGGAATCATCGGCGGCAAACCCAAGCACTCTCTGTTCTTCGTTGGGCATCAAGGTAGGTGTATGGTCTTCCTGTTGTCAATCTGTATTTTACAGTCCTTGTACCCTCACTCTGACCATGCTCATGTTTCCTGTGCTAGACGAGCAGCTGTTGTACTTGGATCCCCACTACAGCCAGTCCACAGTGGATATCACACAGGATAACTTCCCCTTAGAGGTAATGGAAGGTGCTCTCTTCCTGTTTTGGCTGTCTGTGTTTGCAAACCCTATACATTATTCTATATCCATGACACTTGCCCAGCTTCTAGACCGAGATTGTATCTCTTTCTGGGGCCTTGTTCTCCCCTGCAGTCGTTTCACTGTAAGTGTCCCAGGAAGATGGCCTTCAGTCGCATGGACCCCAGCTGCACTATAGGCTTCTATGCCAAGAGCCAGAAGGACTTTGCGTTACTGTGCTCAGCTGTTAGCACGGTATGTGGGGCACACACACACAGGCACTATTACTGCTACTATTTATTATTATTTATCTTTTTGTGTATATATTTCCAAACATTAAAAGTGTTATTTTGTTACTACTTTGTATTACTTATTGTGTATTATTATTTTTTACAAATGGGTATTGCACTGTTGAGGAAAGCTTGCAAGTAAGCATTTCACTGTACCGTTTACACCCTGTGCATGTGACCAATAAACTTTGATTTTATTTGTGGTGTCCTGGTCAGGGGAATAGGCTGGCTATGGATTTGAACCCTGGACAAGATGCTGGTGTTTACTCTTGAGTGATCAAATATGCATATATGAAGAGTACGCTGAATAACTGGTGGAGGACATGTTTTAGTTGCAAGGAGCCAAGTACATTTATTGCTTTTCCAGTATGTCGTAATACAGTCATGCCCATTGGTTAATGGTTACATTGAGATGAGGGGAAATATAAGAGCTCTCCTAGAGATGGTTCTCTCATTCATCTCTTTCTCTTCCCCAGGCTCTCTCGTCATCAACAGAAAAGTACCCCATCTTCACCATTGCAGAGGGTCAGGGACAGGATGGGGGGCAGGAGGATGAGAGCGATGCACCCCCAAACTCTATCACCCACATCCTGACAAAGGACAAGGAGAGGCTGAGAAGGACCAATACCAGCAACAGCATGGATGAGTTTGTGTTATTGTGAACTAACGTAGCAGGAGTAAAAGTTCTAAGCTAGGTTGAATTAGCTGTATCCCTGAAAACCGGAACATCCGGTTGTTGGCAACTCTGCTAAGGGTGCTGTGAATAGACTGACTTAATGTGCCCTGAGTGGCCAGCAACCGGATGTTCCGGTTTTCAGGGATACAGCTAATTCAACCTAGCTTAGAACTTTTACTCCTGGAACATAATTAATATACCAACTCATACACATAGTTACTGAACTGAGCTTTATCAGTGGCAACAACTGACAGGGGGGGGGACATGCTACAGATTTAACCTTTATCCCCAACCTCCACAAGCAATAACTAGGCTTGGTGAGGTGTTGCTTAATAGAACAGGCCAATGACACTATTCTCGTGTATTTATTAGTTTTAGATAATTATTTATTGTTTTAAGGTGAAGTGTTGTGATGAATGTAACAGAATGTTTTTAAATGAAGGTTTTTGTATAATTGTTTTTAATTTTAAGATTTTGATATTAGTATGGTTTTGAGGTTCTTATGTTAAATATCCTGCCTTCAACTTCCTTGTTTACTATTCTACATGAAGTCATGTCATGGGTGACTCAATGCCTGGCTGAAAGACACTGACTGACCCTATTTCATCATTGTGTAGATAAGCTGCTCATCCTATAGTCCTCTCCACTACAACCTTTTGTTGAAATACTTTGTCCTGCATTAGACTCAAGACAATCTGGGCTCTGAGCTGCTGTTTGACGTCATGTGACAGGATGTCTGCTCTGTGAATGGATTAGGAAATTTGATTCCTTAGACCTTGGGACGTGCACATGGAACCAGTGAATGGAATCAATTTGTCTTCTTATAGATGTGTGTATTGGTTTGTATGTGGTTGAGTGGGGAGAGTATAAAATATGCATCAGTCAATTAAGAGGCACATTCTGGGCAATATGGGGTTGCTTTTGCCCTTTTTTTTTTTTTTTCGGAATGAATGTTTTTTACATGGAAAATGAGTGGCACAATGCATTCAATAAAAGCTATCAGTAAAAAGAAAACACAACTTCATCAGACTGATGTAGTTTAGGCCATACAAATTTGAATTACATGTTTAACGGATACCCTGCAGTGCTTCTACATCTGCATTGCTTTCTGTTTGGGGTTTTAGGCTGGGTTTCTGTAGAAGCACTTTGTGACCTGCTGATGTAAAAAGGGCTTTATAAATAAATTTGTTTGATACCCCTCTTGTTTTCTCCCCACCCAAAAAATCTGAAAAATTGTACTGAAAAAATGTAAAGATTATAGCAAAAATAATGGCCTCAATCTTCTAGTAAAGAGATACGCCACTTCCTTTCGGATAATGGCTGAACTATGCCTCTTTTAGCCTCCCCAAGAGGCTGAAATATATTGATTAGGTCACTAGGAGTTGAATTAAGGTCGCTATAGTATTTTAACAAGAAGGTCCACATAAAAATAATCTGTGAAACATTTGGAAAGAGACCCTCTAACAATGTTTGTATTTTTTGTTTATTGGAAAAATACATCAAAAGCAGAGGAATTCTGAGCAGTGTAGAATCTAAAATGGAAAGTGCTGCACATTAATCTGTAGGTATGGACCTCATGTCATGGCCATACTGCTGGAAATAGAGGTGAGAGTGGTACTGTAGCTCAGGCAGCACTAGTCGCACACAGAGCCCCTCTTCCTGCAGAGTCAGGTTCCCTCGTACCTCGTATCCCAGGATGGTGACTGTGTCGGTCTGCCAGGGCCTGACCAGGTCCTCCAGCTCACCAGGGGGCACCCCTCCCCTGGCCACACACTTCTGTCTGAGCCTCTGTGTGGAGGCCCTCAGCAGGGCCACCTCCCTGTTCAGTCTCCCCAGGCCATACTGCTCAGCTTTCTCCCAGAACACCTGCAGAAATAAGTTGTAGAGCAGCACATCCAGACTGTTCCAGGCCCGGAGCCTGGCCTTGGTGTCCTCCTCCAGCGGGGTGACATCCGAGGGAGCGCGGACGTTCAGGTGCACATAGGCCAGCTCCTCAGGCTCCAGCTGCAGCAGAGCCCCCAGGAGAACCAGAGACTCATCAAAGTGCTCAGCGATCATCACCAGCTGGAAGGCCTCCTCCAGCTGAGCCAGCTCCATGGGCCAGGACGCGTTCCACTCCTGGCTGCTGAGGCCCAGGTCAAAGCTCATAGGGTTCCTGGCTAGGCCATTCCCCGGTTCTTTAGGGTCCCAGTAGGACTCTGTGGCCTCCAGGAAGACCGAGAGGGCTGACTTCCTGTTAGCCGTGTCAGCTGCCTTTTTGGCTAGAGTGAAGGCGGGTACAGTGGAAGTATAGTAGCTGAAAACGGACTCAAAGGTCCGTAGAGGATCACGCAGCAGGGTGATGTAGATGGTGTTCCTGGGCATCACCTGTCTTAGCTGTCCCAGGTCCAGCCGCATGTGGCTGCAGAGCATGTCGAACTGAGAGGAACCCGGTGGCAGCTCATCCACAAAGTCTGCTCGGAACCTGGAGCCATAAGGAAGGTAAAACCCATGTTAAAGCAGTAAAAGTTATCTGTAGTTAATATCCACCAAACGGAGGGGCTCCAAATGTACCACAGACCTGACAGTAAATTTGATTGATAATCTGAACATTGCAATAGAACCGTATCTTACAGGAGACAGTAGTCGTGTGCCCATACCTATCTGGGTAGCTGAACTGGTATGCGTAATAGGGGAAGGCGAAAGTGAGGCTCTCCTTCTCCCCAAGGCGGAACATCAGATTCTGGACAGTGCTGCTTCCAGTCTTGTGTGTTTTGAGGAAAGCTACAGGCGGAGGGCTCCTCCTTGTCCTCATAAAGGTGTACCCATTGGGGTCTCTTTGATGCTGCAGATCGGGGGTCTGAACCTCCTTCCTCCTGTTAGGGGCAGTGTGGGATGGGATGGGTGTGTTAGGAGAAGCATCATCGGAAAGTGCTCCCCTCTCCTCCACCTTATGTCCCTTGTGCCCAGAATAGTGGCTTTCGAAAAAGGAAAGAGAGAGGATTTCAACTGACATCTAGGTAAACATAGACACAGGACATTTGCAGCTTAGCTGTATGCCATGACAAAATACTCCTCATTAATCAATTCTGTATTTAAAAGGTTTTTTAATCCGTAAATGTATTTACATAATATATGTAGTGTTTCTCTGGTACATTGATACAATAACCACTGAGCTAAATCTATTAGTTTTACAACGAACAACAGCTACAGACAGTACATAATGGTGGGGAGAGAAAGAGAGACAAAGACAGAAAGTCCCTTACCTTGGATGCTGCAATGACTGAGTAGCCAGGAGCATGAGTAACAAGGTGACACACAAAGCCATCAGGAGACCCATCACACGGTGTCTCCAAAGTTGGGTGGACAACCAGCGGAGGGTCATCTCCTTTCCGTGGCCCACCCGAAACACTTTCCTCTGGAACCTTCTTCCCTCCCAGCATGGTAAATAGGCTCTGGGACTTTGAAGGTGAGACTGGGTTCCGGAGCTTAAAGAAACTAAGAGAGACCTGACCTTACCCTCTAAGCTGGCTCAGCGAAATGTCACGCAGCCAGCCAGCAACTCTCCAGCCAAGAAGTCGTGATGATTGAGTTTTTGACTAACAACATTTGAGACTGTCTATTCTATAGCTTTGCTGCTGTAAACAGTCGCGTAAGGTGCAACTGCAAAATGTCAAGGCTAATGTCCTATTCACATGTTAAGAGAAGCAATCACTGTTTTTGTATATTAGGGATGCCAAATACTAAAAGCTAAACTGGACAAAAAACAAGAGACAAGGACATTAAGGAAAATAAATAAATACAATAAATTAGATACAATTAAAATAAATAAGAACAGAAAATTCCCCAACACAAAGAATAGTAAAACCACCTAGACCTAAAACAACAATGAAAATGTATTATAAGATTGTGTGATATGAATGTGTGTGATATGACTGTGGCAAACACATTGACAGTGCTATTCATTTGAAATGGACTGGGTCTGATGTTGGAGGGGACGTTGCTTTCCTCATCGACCCTTAGCGCGCATTATCATTCAATTGGTTAAAATGCTACATGTCAAGATACTATTGGCTCATACTAAAACGATAAACGCCTAACCCTTACCCAACTGTGAGCAGGCCATGTTCATTACGAAAACGATGCGGAAATGCCATGACTAGAGCAGACATGAGTCCTTATTCGATACACTAAAGAGGTAGCTATGTTTGTTCTACATAATACATTTATATCTGAACGTTGGCCAACGTTTTGTCCTGCTGAACGCAGCCCAGTTCCAGTGGTGCACGACTCCAGGATTTTTAGAGTCGACTCCGACTCCTGTGATTGGAGTTGAAAGGAGTCGACTCTTGCTCGACTCCCAAAACACGCGTAAACGGATACGCGCACACACATACACACCACCTCATTATTGCAGAGTCCTACTAGGAAGACTACATTTTAGAGGACTGACATGAGCATGATGCTTACCATTTGCATATGGCCTATTTTGTTTGAATATAGAAGGTGATGTGTAAGAACTATAATATTTCAGTGAATTTTCTGCTGTGCTTCCTTGACGGATCCCATGGGATGATGCGGCGCGCTCTATGCTGATAAGCCTATTATTTGACATGTTATAGCCCTATTCGGACGGGTATTACTAGAGACGTTGGTTTTGTAATTATTATCCAAGTATGTGCGTTATTCCAGAGGAATATAAATATTTTTTTAATTTTATTGAATGGACTCTTATGACGGAAACCTGGAGGTTGTTATTGTAGGCGTGAAGATATTTCAATGTCATGTCTAGACGATAATAGGCTACACTGATAACTCGTGCTTGGCTGACAAATCTGTATAGGTCTCCCCATAATATTTAAATTGATGAAGTGTGATCATAATCATTATTTTTGCGATCCATCCATGGTAGACATCCTTCCTAATAACAATGCCCCACATCCTGCTGATTTGAGCTGCTGAACCGTTTTTGCACTTGACTGTGTTTATGGATGAGAAAGTGAACTTGCCATTTCCAAAAAGTTAGGCGGGGATCCTGCTTTGCGATCTATTGCCTAGGACAGGGCTCTTCAACCCTGTTCGCGGAGAGCTACCATCCTGTAGGTTTTCACTCCAAAAACCTACAGGAAGGTAGCTCTCCAGGAACAGGGTTGGAGAGCCCTGACCTAGGACTCAAAAGCAACAGCCAGCCAGGGTTGAATTAAATAAGCTTTAGGCAATCATTTTTATTGCACATTTAGGCCTAATTGAACTGATGCATTTGGCGATGTTCATCTTCAATTCACTGGCACTATGAAGAACAGTTTAGCCATACTCACTGTCTGCCTAATATATACTTTAATATACTTTTGGTGAATTGACGAGGCATAGCTAGATACAGATTACCAAAATAAAGCCTATGCGCAGGGTTCTAACAGTCTTTATCCCTGCCCCTATCTTCTCTCTACCTCAACTGCTCCTCTTTCTCTTCGCTATGAAAAACGCTACTGTGTGTTTGGTCTTCGGTCTGTTGCATGTAGAGTCGAGTAGCTCAGCCTACTCATTGATAGCGCGTACTTTAGTGAATTTGCGCGAGACATTGCAAGCCAAGAAATTGCGAAATACAGCATTGCAATTGCCTACATATTTTTATTACTGATGCACAGTTCTGCCTGGTGGCCGACATGCCTACCTATGCCTGGCTGTGCCCCTCCCCTCCCATCTCAATTCAATTTAAGGGGCTTTATTGGCATGGGAAACATATGTTTACATTGCCAAAGCAAGTGAAATAGATCATAAACAAAAGTGAAATAAACAATACAAAATTAACAGTAAACATTACATTCACAAAAGTTCCAAAATAATAAAGACATTTCAAATGTCATATTATGTCAATATAATGTTGTAATGATGTGCAGATAGTTAAAGTACAAAACGGAAAATAAATAAACATAAATATAGGTTGTATTTACAATGGCGTTTGTTCTTCACTGGTTGCCCTTTTCTTGTGGCAACAGGTCACAAATCTTGCTGCTGTGGTTGCACACTGGTATTTCACCCAATAAATATCGGAGTTTATCAACATTTTTGTTTTCGAATTCTTTGTGGGTCTTTGTAGTCTGAGGGAAATATGTGTCTCTAATATAGTCATACATTTGGCAGGAAGTTATAAAGTGCAGCTCAGTTTCCACCTTATTTTGTGGGCAGTGTGCACATAGCCTGTTTTCTCTTGAGAGCCAGGTCTGCCTTCGTCGGCCTTTCTCAATAGCAAGGCTATGCTCACTGAGTCTGTACATAGTCAAAGATGTCCTTAATTTTGGGTCAGTCACAGTGGTCAGGTATTCTGCCACTGTGTACTCTCTGTTTAGAGCCAAATAGCATTCTAGTTTGCTCTGTTTTTTTTGTAAATTCTTTCCAATGTGTCAAGTAATTGTGTTTTTGTTTTCTCATGATTTGGTTGGGTCTAATTGTGTTGCTGTCCTCTCTCGCTCTTTCTTTGCTGTGAAAGAAGCCAGAGTTTGTGTTCTCTAAGTAGACTACGGAAAATAGTTTCCTCCGTTGCAAAAAAAATACTGATTCTTAGGAGTTCGAAGCTTGACACACAGAAATGGGAGTCGACGGGCAAAGAGTCGAGGAATCGATTACTTTGGAGTCGACTCCCACCCACTAACCACTTCTCACCGTGGTTCTATCTAGTCCCTATGCATTTCATTTCAATAACCTGTATTTTCATATTATTTTTTTACTGTAAAGCGGACTGGTACATATTCCAATCTACAAAACAGCACCTTTGGTTGTGGTTATTAAACGTGGCAATGTAGCTAGGGTTGATACCGGTAAATGTTTTTTTTGGCACTGCACATTTTATTCAGATAGAAAAATGTATGTAAACGTCGCTCAATTGCTTTCATTGTTACTGTCAATGACTACTATCAACAATGATCCCTCATGATCTTGTTTTACTACATGTAATAGTATTGTTCTATAATAACTTGTACATCCATCCCCCATGTCGACATACTTCGAAAGGACCTACCCGCGAAGGGTGATTTCAATGTAAATCAGATTCAGCTGTTTTATTTTTTAGACTTCGTCGATGGTTATCCTTATTCAGATTATTGATACGTCATTTCATTTTGAAATACCTTTTGGTTATCGTTGGGTTGGAAGGAACGGGAGTCAGGACCGACATTATTAGTCTGTCTGCAGACAGTGGCGGCAGAGTAAAATTAATAAATGTTGTTTTTGGTAAATGTATCTAGTTAACTAGAGCGGGGATGCGGGTTGGATCAATCAACTGAAATTATTTGTAAAAACTTTTTTACTCTCGCCGAATCTCTAAAGTCAGCAAAATAACCAAATTCTCAGCATACATTTTGTTACGACAGCATGGTCGGCTAGCAGAGACCGTACCATCAGCCAACTGTCTGGCATTATTTGTTTATTCGCAATTATTATGTAGAAAACAATGTTTGAAATGTAGCCCATCACATGGTGAATGGTTTCTGACCTCAAACAAATATAGCGTGCTACTATGTTGTAAACGGAGGTTGTTTTGCTGCTAGCTAGCTTTCTAGCCAAGTCAAGCTATGCTAGCTAACTATACATCACATTAGGTGCCTCACGAGCAGTAATACTGTCGATCTCTGCGAGTTTTGAAAGTGTTAACAGCATCGAAGACCGATAAGGAGTTACCAGTATCTTTGGTGGGGGATAATGTTTTGGGTGATCAAACTTGAATTGTGTGTCGCAGTGGGGAATGGCGTCCCTTGAGGGCAAGAACGAGATGTATGTCAGAAGGAAGTGCAGTATTATCATAAGGAGACATACACATGGATTACGGAGGATGAAAAGAGAGGCAGAGGTCTTTGAAGAGAGGGAGGAAGAGGGTGAGTTTGAATTGGTTAAAAATGGAGGAAAAAGGGAGATGGTTTGTTGAAGAAGAATGGTAGAAAGTGTGAGCTGTACACCGGATCGAAGACAGGAGAGGAAGATAAATTAAAGTGAATGAGGCCAGGCAAGGTATCGGAGTTGGTAGGTGTGGTGAAGTTCTCGGAGCCTGAGGATTGTACCGAGAGTCAGAATAAAGATGAGTCTGTGACGGTAGGAGTGACCTATCCATTTGTGGTTTCAGGGTGAGTGAAAATGGAGTTAGGTGCTGTGGAATTGGTTAAGGTAACCCAAAGTGGTCTTGTGATAATTGTTTCTGTTGGTCAGATGGAGCAGGCGCTCCGCGTCAAACGACTGGGGACAGGATATGTGAATTGTTTAGGGCGCCATTGAAAGGAGTAATTACAGGGTAGTGGTGAAAGTGGACCAACTGAAGCCAGGGGAAGATTCCCGGTGTTTGTGATGCTCTTCGTTTGGTGCAACACATACAGGATGGCTTGAGTGGAGAAATAGAAGAGTTGTTGTGTTCTTTTGAGTTTTGATGTTCAATCTTTGCCTGACAAAGTGATGTTAGGATATATCAGTTATCCAGTACAAGCTTTTATACCTAATACATTACGTTGTTACAGGTGTGTCAAGCTTATTGGCATGCGGCAGCAGTGTGTAGGAGGGAGGTTCCTAGGTGTGCAGAAGTGCATGAGACAAAGGTATGTGGAGCATTAGGGAAAGAAGTGGTATGTGTTAATTGTAGGGGTGCCCATGGAGCTGGGGATCAGAAATGTCTGGTGAGAGAGGCAGGTTGAGGTATACCAGGGTTAGAGTAGTGCAGAAGTTGTCATATGCTGATGCAGTGCAGAAAGTAGAGGAAGATGGGTCAAGGGGGAGGGAAATCCTCATTCTTCTTTTGATGAGGTTTAAAGGCGGTTGGAATCCAATAAATGTTGCATTACCACCACCTACTAGACTGGAGTGTAACTCCCTTATACTTTGCTTGAAAATAATAATAATACAAAAATCAACAAATACCCTACCATCTAACCCTACACTCACTAAAAACCCACCACCCTACTCCACTATTTAAATCTTTCTAGTCCTACCTCAGGCCAACAGCCTGCAAGGACAGGACACCACCACTCAACACACCCTGTAGGCCTAACTCTTCTGATGTCCAGTGTGGTACACCCAAATACCTCTCTGCAGCTGCCACCACAACCTCAATTGTATGCGGCTTACGTTCCATCCCTGCAGTACAGTTGATAACCATTACCTTACTGAAGCATATATCATGTATTGGCCTATCCCTCTGTACTGGTACAGATCTACTACTCACACCACTCCACTCAGGATCCCTCCCCTTTGACCCATCTTCTTCTCGATTCCTTTCCAACAATGCAGAGAGAAAAATATAAAAATAATAACACAAGGAATAGCCTAAATACACAATGAGTAACGATAACTTGGCTATATACACTGGGTACCAGTACTGAGTCAATGTGCAGGGGTACGAGGAAATTGAGGTAGATAGCTATGTACATATAGGTAGGGGTAAAGTGACTAGGCAACAGAATAGATAATAAGCAGCAGTATATGTGATGAGTCAAAAGAGTTAGTGTTAAAGGGGGTCAATACAGATAGTCTGTGTAGCTATTTGGTTAACTATTTAGCAGTCTTATGGCTTGGGGGTAGAAGCTGTTAAAGGTCCGGTTGGTTCCAGACTTGGTGCGTTGGTACCGCTTGCCGTGCGGTAGCAGAAAGAACACTCTATGACTTGGGTGGCTGGAGTCTTTGACCATTTTTAGGGCCTTCCTCTGACCCCGCCTGTTAGAGGTCCTGGAATGCCGGGAGGTCGGCCCCAGTGATGTACTGCTGGGCCGTACGCACTACCCTATGTAGCACCTTGCATTTGGATGCCAGGCGGTGATGCAGCCAGTCAAGATGCTCTCAATGGTGCAGCTGTAGAACATTTTGAGGATCTGAGGGCCCATGCCAAATCTTTTCAGCCTCCTGAGGGGGAAAAGGCGTGTAGGTGTGTGTGGACCATTATTTAATGGAGTTGTGCGCGGCCACGCAGTCGTGGCTGAACAGGGAGTACAGGATGGGACTACCACACACCCCTGAGGGGCCCAGTGTTGAGGGTCAGCGTGGCGGATGTGTTGTTGCCTACCCTCACACTTTTGTCTTAAGTTGAGAATGTTTGGGCTAATAACTTGACAAAATGAACCACCTTGTGACTGAAGCAAATAAACTAACTCAGGAGGTGGATGGGCTGTGCTTTCAGGTTCTACCAGTCTAGTGTCTTATTTTCCCTGTGCAGCTCATGATCCGTTGTTTACACTCTGCTAATGCTCTACTGAGCAGCCTCTGCAGAGAAAGCTTATCTCTGTTTAGCTACAGTTTCAGCTTGGCTCATCTTATCTCAACGTTCATGTACATTTTCCTACGCTGAGCATGGATGTTTGTGTGTTTGGATAGGGTGGCCTTCTGCGTATATTCCCAACTATTTGTGCCAGTCATGCATATTCACACAAAACATACATTCAGATGACTACAAAATGGCTACCATCTTGAGAATTGGATCTTGTTATTCAAACCAATTGATGTATTTTAGGTCATTTGGGCACAACTGATAACCCAAAGCTCAGAGAACACAAAGTCCATTTGTGGATGATGGCTACATAGAGATCGACTGGTTGCGTACCAGGGCTGGGAATTGCCAGGGACCTCATGATACGATATTATCATGATTCTATATACAGTGGGGGTCAAATACTTTTTTCCCTCACTCAATCAGAAAGATTTCTGGCTCCCAGGTGTCTTTTATACAGGTAACGAGCTGAGATTAGGAGCACACTCTTAAAGGGAGTGCTCCTAATCTCAGCTTGTTACCTGTATAAAAGACACCTGTCCACAGAAGCAATCAATCAATCAGATTCCAAACTCTCCACCATGGCCAAGACCAAAGAGCTCTCCAAGGATGTCAGGGACAAGATTGTAGACCTACACACAAGGCTGGAATGGGCTACAAGACCATCACCAAGCAGCTTGGTGAGAAGGTGACAACAGTTGGTGCGATTATTCGCAAATGGAAGAAACAAAATAACTGTCAATCACCCTCGGCCTGGGGCTCCATGCAAGATCTCACCTTGTGGAGTTGCAATGATCATGAGAACGGTGAGGAATCAGCCCAGAACTACACGGGAGGATCTTGTCAATGATCTCAAGGCAGCTGGGATCATAGTCACCGAGAAAACAATTGGTAACACACTATGCCGTGAAGGACTGAAATCCTGCAGCGCCCGCAAGGTCCCCCTGCTCAAGAAAGCACATATACAGGCCCGTCTGAAGTTTGCCAATGAACATCTGAATGATTCAGAGGAGAACTGGGTGAAAGTGTTGTGGTCAGATGAGACCAAAATCAAGCTCTTTGGCATCAACTCAACTCGCCTTGTTTGGAGGAGGAGGAATGCTGTCTATGACCCCAAGAACACCATCCCCACCGTCAAACATGGAGGTGGAAACATTATGCTTTGGGGGTGTTTTTCTGCTAAGGGGACAGGACAACTTCACTGCATCAAAGGGACGATGGACGGCGCCATGTACCATCAAATCTTGGGTGAGAACCTCCTTACCTCAGCCAGGGCATTGAAAATGGGTCGTGGATGGGTATTCCAGCATGACAATGACCCAAAACACACGGCCAAGGCAACAAAGGAGTGGCTCAAGAAGAAGCACATTAAGGTCCTGGAGTGGCCTAGCCAGTGTCCAGACCTTAATCCCATAGAAAATCTGTGGAGGGAGCTGAAGGTTTGAGTTGCCAAACGTCAGCCTCGAAACCTTAATGACTTGGAGAAGATCTGCGAAGAGGAGTGGGACAAAATCCCTCCTGAGATGTTTGTGAACCTGGTGGCCAACTACAAGAAACGTCTGACCTCTGTGATTGCCAACAAGGGTTTTGCCACCAAGTACCAAGCTGCTTGCCGATGGTCTTGTAGCCCATTCCAGCCTTGTGTAAGTCTACAATATTGTCCCTGATATCCTTGGAGAGCTCTTTGGTCTTGGCCATGGTGGAGAGTTTGGAATCTGATTGATTGATTGCTTCTGTGGACAGGTGTCTTTTATACAGGTAACAAGCTGAGATTAGGAGCACTCCCTTTAAGAGTGTGCTCCTAATCTCAGCTCGTTACCTGTATAAAAGACACCTGGGAGCCAGAAATCTTTCTGATTGAGAGGGGGTCAAATACTTATTTCCCTAATTAAAATGCAAATAAATTTATAACATTTTTGACATGCGTTTTTCTGGATTTTGTTGTTGTTATTCTGTCTCTCACTGTTCAAATAAACCTACCATTAAAATTATAGACTGATCATGTCTTTGTCAGTGGGCAAATGTAAAAAATCAGCAGGGGATCAAAATACTTTTTTCCCTCACTGTATATTGCGATTCAATACTGGGATTCGATGTTCCAAACATATTGCTCACTATATGTCTGCTGCAGAGGGACAAGAGAGTCATGAGAACATGTTTTTTTGATCAGTCATGAAAATAAAAGTGCAAAAATATTAAAAAAGATAATAGAGAACAAGCTATGAGGGAAAAATACTGGTGTTTTGGTGCAGATACAGCCAACTAATGCGATATTGTCAATCACTGGTACACAGTAAATTGTACTCCTCACTGCTGGGTTGGTTTGTTGTAAATACTGGTCAGTATCTCATCTGTCATTTGTCCTCTCTGCAGAGTGGAGCTTGGTGCTTTCACATTCTCGGACTCAGCTGAGAGATGTCCACCCCAGACCCCCCCATGGGAGGGACGCCCCGGCCGGGCCCCTCCCCAGGACCAGGGCTTTCTCCAGGAGCCATGATGGGCCCCAGCCCTTCCCCAGGCTCTGCTCATAGCATGATGGGACCCAGCCCAGGTCCCCCAGCCTCTGGACACCCCCACCCTCAACAGGGGCCCTCAGGATATCCTCAGGAGAACATGAACCAGATGCACAAAGTAAGACAGAAAACGGGCATATCCATAACTGTAATGTATGTAAAATGTCTGCAATGGTACCATTTTATGATAATTTTATTGCATTAATCTATTCTTCCTTTACTGTACATAAGAAATGTATGTGCTATCTAAGTAGGACATGCTTATGTTGAATGTGTGAGTGATGTACTGGGCCGTACGCTTTACCCTATGTAGCGCCTTGCGGTTGGATGCCTAGCGATGATGCAGCCAGTCAAGATGCTCTCAATGGTCCTCTGTAGCTCAATTGGTAGAGCATGGCGCTTGTAACGCCAGGGTAGTGGGTTCGATCCCCGGGACCACCCATACGTAAAAATGTATGCACACATGACTGTAAGTCGCTTTGGATAAAAGTGTCTGCTAAATGGCATATTATTATTATTATTATTATTAATGGTGCAGCTGTATAACTTTTTGAGGATCTGAGGGCCCATGCCAAATATTTTAAGCCTCCTGAGGGGAAGAGGCGTTGTCATGCCTTCTTCAGGACTGTGTAGGTGTGTGTGGACCATTATTTAATGGAGTTGTGCGCGGCCACGCAGTCGTGGCTGAACAGGGAGTACAGGAGGGGACTAAGCACACACCCCTGAGGGGCCCCGTGTTGAGGGTCAGCGTGGCGGATGTGTTGTTGCCTACCCTCACACTTTTGTCTTAAGTTGAGAATGCTTGGGCTAATAACTTGACAAAATGAACCACCTTGTGACTGAAGCAGAAACTGGCTTTCAAATAAACTAACTCAGGAGGTGGATGGGCTGTGCTTTCAGGTTCTACCAGTCTAGTGTCTTATTTTCCCTGTGCAGTTCATGATCCGTTGTTTACACTCTGCTAATGCTCTACTGAGCAGCCTCTGCAGAGAAAGCTTATCTCTGTTTAGCTACAGTTTCAGCTTGGCTCATCTTATCTCAACGTTCATGTACATTTTCCTACGCTGAGCATGGATAGGGTGGCCTTCTACGTATATTCCCAACTATTCCTACTTGTGTATATTTGTGCCAGTCATGCATATTCAAACAAAACATACATTTAAATGACTACAAAATGGCTACCATCTTGAGAATTGGATCTTGTTATTCAAACCAATTGATGTATTTTAGGTCATTTGGGCACATCCGAGAACCTACAGCTCAGAGAACACAAAGTCCATTTGTGGATGAAGGCTACATAGAGATTGTCTGGTACGCACTTGGGCTGGGAATTGCCAGGGACTTCACGATACTATATATATTGCGATTCAATACTGGGATTTGATGTTCCAAACAAATTGCTCACCATATGTCTGCTGCAGTGGGACAAAAGAATCATGAGAAAACACGTTTTTTGATCAGTCATGGAAATAAAAGTGCTGAAAACAAATTGGCTCCCTATTTAAAAAGAAGATGGAGAACAAGCTATGAAGGAAAAATACTGGAGTTTTGGTGCAGATACAGCCAACTAATGCGATATTGTCAAAACAATACAATATATCGTCAACAATAATATCCCAATATGTAACTGTATCAATAGCCCCCCCAAGGTACCATACCATGGTGTACTGAATAGATTAGATTGCATGGAGGATAGAGGAAACATTGACTCTGTTATTGAAGGAGCTTAACACAAAAGGTTAACTTATTAGCTTTCCATATGATCTTAAAATGGTGATTGTGATTTTAGGCTTAAGCACAATTGTCTTTAAAGCCAATTACCTGAAAAGAGGAACTGTGAACGCTAACTCGTGTAGACGCATGTGCACTTGTACTGTGAACTCAACCAGCCACTTTCTCCTCTTTCGCTTCTGTTGTTTTGTTGGGTAGCGTGAGCAGCAGATGCTCAGTGGAGGGGCATGAGGCTTCCCCTTTCAGACAATGAAGGTGGCAGCTGTCTGCTACAAAAACAGTCAGTCACCAAGGAGAGAGAGACAGAGGGGCTGTTGAAATACTGTAATACAGGGGAGGGTGTTTTTCTGTTGACTCTTCTATCCTGTATTGACTGGTGACAGAGGGTGAGGCTCAGCTGTAATGTGTGCAAGTCTGTTAGAGATTGTGATTTGTAAAGTGTTTGTATCGCCAGTCCAGCCCATAATCATAATACCAGTCTGCATTTTGGTTTTGGCTAACATTTGGCAATTTGGCTAACATTTCTTCTGGTCTGTTAGCATCCATTTCACCACTATTTTCAATGTATCTAGCCATTTTATTAGTCATTCAAATCAGTTTCCCACTGTTCTCAATTAAAGGGACAGTCATGCCCTACCATTCCCAGGGAAGATTACTTTTCTCACCTGTGCTGTTGTATCTCCTCCCCAGGCTACCCCTCTCCACTGGGGGGTTCTGAGCACTCTCCCAGCCCTGTGCCAGCCAACGGCCCTTCCCCCGGCCCCATGATGCCCTCCGGCCCTGGAGGTGTCTCCATGGAGGGCGGTGACCCCAAGGCCACGGGCCAGCAGGACTGCGGTGGTGTCCTGAGTTTTGGTTCTGTGCCAGGTGGGGTTGGGCCGGGTGGATCTACCCCCTTCAACCAAAACCAGCTGCACCAGCTCAGGGCCCAGATCATGGCCTACAAGATGCTGGCTCGCAGCCAGCCCCTGCCAGACCACCTGCAGATGGCCGTGCAGGGCAAGAGGCCCATGCCAGGGATGCAGCAGCCAGGGATGCCCAACATGCCCCCTTCCTCTGGGCCCGGAGCAGGGCCTGGGGCGGGGCCCGGACAGCCACCAGCACACTACAACAGACCTCTTGGTGAGTGGGGTGGGCACATGCAAGGTTATGCTACACAGCCTGTCAATGAGTTTTGCAACCCTATGAATTACACATAAATGCACATAATTACAGTCAATCACACACAAATGCTGTCTGTCTTAAACAAAGAAAATAAATAATTTGAATGCTGAACACGGACCCCTGGTGGTGAAACTTAAAAACACGCTCTCAGTTCAAGCACCATTTTCTACGTTAACTATACTTCAATAAGGGATGTCTGTGAGTGTGAATGGCCAGGCAGTGTCTGATCATATCTAATGTCCCCTGTCATCTTGCAGGAATGGTAGGCCCCAACATGCCTCCTCCAGGACCCTCAGGTGTTCCCCCTGGTATGCAGGGCCAGCCCACCAACGGACCCCCTAAACAATGGGCCGAAGGTGAGCCTCATCTTGACCCCTGGGCAATGATTCACCTGTGTGTGAGAGGGCACTAGTCTGTAGTGTTTTTAGTCCACGTTCTTCTCTTTCCTGTGCTGAAAATTTCACCAGACCTATCACAAGAAATACACACATATTAAACAGATAATCAATACACCAAAACACTCTGTGGAATGGTAGAACTAATAACTCCTTCAATGCCATATGTTCTAGGGCCCATGGTGAATGCTTCTGCTCCATCCAGTGCCCCCCAGAAGCTGATTCCCCCTCAGCCCACTGGCAGACCCTCCCCTGCTCCCCCCTCCGTGCCCCCAGCTGCCTCCCCGGTCATGCCCCCTCAGACCCAGTCCCCTGGGCAGCCCTCCCAGCCCCCACCCATGGTGCTGCACCAGAAACAGAACCGCATCACGCCCATCCAGAGGCCCCATGGCCTGGACCCAGTGGAGATCCTCCAGCAGAGAGAGTACAGGCTGCAGGCTCGAGCGCTGAGGCGCGTAGCACGTAAAAATCGTCTGTCCTCTGTTGCAACACTCACTACCAAGTTCCAAACTGCCTCTGGAAGCAATGTCAGCACAAGAACTGTTCGTCGGGAGCTTCATGAAATGGGTTTCCATGGCCGAGCAGCCGCACACAAGCCTAAGATCACCATGCGCAATGCCAAGCGTCGGCTGGAGTGGTGTAAAGCTCACCGCCATTGGACTCTGGAGCAGTGGAAACGCGTTCTCTGGAGTGATGAATCACGCTTCACCATCTGGCAGTCCGACGGACGAATCTGGGTTTGGCGGATGCCAGGAGAACGCTACCTGACCGAATGCATAGTGCCAACTGTAACGTTTGGTGGAGGAGGAATAATGGTCTGGGGCTGTTTTTCATGGTTTGGGTTAGGCCCCTTAGTTCCAGTGAAGGGAAATCTTAACGCTACAGCATACAATGACATTCTAGACGATTCTGTGCTTCCAACTTTGTGGCAACAGTTTGGGGAAGGCCCTTTCCTGTTTCAGCATGACAATGGCCCCATGCACAAAGCGAGGTCCATACAGAAATGGTTTGTCGAGATCGGTGTGGAAGAACTTGACTGGCCTGCACAGAGCCCTGACCTCAACCCCATCGAACACCTTTGGGATGAATTGGAACGCAGACTGCGAGCCAGGCCAAATCGCCCAACATCAGTGCCCGATCTCACTAATGCTCTTGTGGCTGAATGGAAGCAAGTCCCCGCAGAAATGTTCCAACATCTAGTGGAAAGCCTTCCCAGAAGAGTGGAGGCAGTAATAGCAGCAAAGGGGGGACCAACTCCACATTAATGCCCATGATGTTTGGAATGAGATGTTCAAAGAGTAGGTGGCCACATACGTTTGGTCATGTAGCGTACACTTTATTTTTTGGGGGGGTGGTAGATCAACTGAAATGTTGCAGATAGACAGAAGCCACAATCAATGTAATTGTCTGCATCATTTCCAATCCGCCCTATATTTATATACAGTACCAGTCAAAAGTTTGGACACACCTACTCATTCAAGGGTTTTTCTTTATTTTTACTATTTTCTACATTGTAGAATAATAGTGAAGACATCAAAACTATGAAATAACACATATGGAATCATGTAGTAACCAGAAGTGTTAAACAAATCAAAATATATTTTATATTTGAGATTCTTCAAATAGCCACCCTTTGCCTTGATGACAGCTTTGCACACTCTTGGCATTCTCTCAACCAGCTTCACCTGGAATGCGTTTCCAACAGTCTTGAAGGAGTTCCCACATGCTGAGCACTTGTTGGCTGCTTTTCCTTTGCTCTGCTGTCCGATCCCAAACCATCTCAATTGGGTTGAGGTCGGGGGATTGTGGAGGCCAGGTCATCTGATGCACTCCATCACTCTCCTTCTTGGTAAAATAGCCCTTACACAGCCTGGAGGTGTGTTGGGTGATTGTCCTGTTGAAAAACAAATGATAGTCCCACTAAGCACAAACCAGATGGGATGGCGTACCGCTGCAGAATGCTGTGGTAGACATGCTGGTTAAGTGTGCCTTGAATTCTAAATGAATCACAGACCGTGTCACCAGCAAAGCACCCCCACACCATAACATCTCCTCCTCCATGCTTTACGGTGGGAACTACACATGCAGAGATCATCCATTCACCCGCACCACGTCTCACAAAGACACGGTGGTTGGAACCACAAATCTCACATTTGGACTCCAGACCAAAGGACACATTTCCACTGGTCTAATGTCCATTGTTCGTGTTTCTTGGCCCAAGCAGGTATCTTCTTCTTATTGGTGTCCTTTAGTAGTAGTCCAAATTTTAGATTTTTGGTACCAACCGCCGTGTCTTTGTGAGACACCGAGTACGTGAACGGATGATCTCTGCATGTGTGGTTCCCACCGTGAAGCATGGAGGAGGAGGTGTGGGGGTGCTTTGCCGGTGACACTGTCAGTCATTTATTTAGAATTCAAGGCACACTTAACCAGCATGGCTACCACAGCATTCTGCAGCGATACGCCATCCCATCTGGTTTGGGCTTAGTGGGACTATCATTTGTTTTTCAACAGGACAATGATCCAAAACACACCACCAGGCTGTGTAAGGGCTATTTGACTAAGGAGAGTGATGGAGTGCTGCATCAGATGACCTGGCCTCCGCAATCACCCAACCTCAACCCAATTGAGATGGTTTGGGATGAGTTGGACCGCAGAGTGACGTAAAAGCAGCCAACAAGTGCTCAGCATATGTGGGAACTCCTTCAAGACTGTTGGAAAAGCATTCCTCATGAAGCTGGTTGAGAGAATTCCAAGAGTGTGCAAAGCTGTCATCAAGGCAAAGGGTGGCTACTTAAACAAATCAAAATATATTTTATATTTTTCTAGCACTTTATTGGTTACTAAATGATTCCATATGTGTTATTTCAGAGTTTTGACGTCTTCACTATTATTCTACAATGTAGAAAATAGTAAAAAATAAAAACCTGTGTGTATATATATTATTGTATTATTTTCCCCTAACCATACCACCCCTCCCTTAATTGGAGTAAACTAATGGACAACAACACTTAGGCTTCTACTTCCAGCTTATACATACTATATACTGTACATATTACGGACACAGTATATTTTACATTAGTTATCTTTTGTTTGTTTTTAGTCCCATCCTTCAGCTACCCTCATCCCCTCCCATCTATCTCTGAAGACCATCCAGTTTTGATTTCTATTTGCCATATATTTTTCAATTGTGCTGTTTCACAAAAGTTCTGAACCTACAGTTGAAGTCGGAAGTTTACATACACCTTAGCCAAATACATTTAAACTCAGTTTTTCACAATTCCTGACATTTAATCCTAGTAAAAATTCCCTGTCTTAGGTAAGTTAGATCACCATTTTATTTTAAAAATGTGAAATGTCAGAATAATAGTAGAGGGAATGATTTATTTAAGCTTTTATTTATTTCATCACATTCCCAGTGGGTCAGAAGTTTACATACACTCAATTAGCATTTGGTAGCATTGCCTATAAATTATTTAACTTGGGTCAAACGTTTCAGGTAGCCTTCCACAAGCTTCCCACAATAAGTTGGGTGAATTTTGGCCCATTCCTCCTGACAGAGCTGGTGTAACTGAATCAGGTTTGTAGGCCTCCTTGCTCGCACACACTTTTTCAGTTCTGCCCACAAATTGTCTATAGGTTTGAGGTCAGGACTTTGTGATGGCCACTCCAATACCTTGACTTTGATGTCCTTAAGCCATTTTGCCACAACTTTGGAAGTATGCTTGGGGATCATTGTCCATTTTGAAGACCCATTTGCGACCAAGCTTTAACTTCCTGACTGATGTCTTGAGATGTTGCTTCAATATATCCACATAATTTTCCTTCCTCATGATCCCATCTATTTTGTGAAGTGCACCAGTCCCTCCTGCAGCAAAGCACCCCCACAGCATGATGCTGCCACCCCCGTGCTTCACGGTTGGGATGGTGTTCTTCGGCTTGCAAGCACAGTTCTATTTTTGTTTCAGAGGACATTTCTCCAAAAAGTACGATATTTGTCCCCATGTGCAGTTGCAAACCGTAGTCTGGCTTTTTTATGGCGGTTTTGGAGCAGTGGCTTCTTCCTTGCTGAGCGGCCTTTCAGGTTATGTCAATGTAGGACTCGTTTTACTGTGGATATAGATACTTTGGTACCTGTTTCCTCCAGCATCTTCACAAGGTCCTTTGCTGTTGTTCTGGGATTGATTTGCACTTTTCGCACCAAAGTACGTACATCTCTAGGAGACAGAACGCGTCTCCTTCCTGAGCGGTATGACGGCTGCGTGGTCCCATGGTGTTTATACTTGCGTACTATTGTTTGTACAGATGGATGTGGCACCTTCAGGCGTTTGGAAATTGCTCCCAAGGAAGAACCAGACTTGTGGAGGTCTACAAAAAAAAAATCTGAGTTCTTGGCTGATTTCTTTTGATTTTCCCATGATGTCAAGCAAAGAGGCACTGAGTTTGAAGGTAGGCCTTGAAATACATCCACAGGTACACCTCCAATTGACTCAAATGATGTCAATTAGCCTATCAGAAGCTTCTAAAGCCATGACATCATTTTCTGGAATTTTCCAAGCTGTTTAAAGTCACAGTCAACTTAGTGTATGTAAACTTCTGACCCACTGTGCTGTTTCACTAAAGTTCTAAACCTTTCTATTCAGATTGCAACCCAAATAAATGCTTCACAGAGTTCAAGTAACAGACACATCTCAACATCAATTGCTCAGAAGAGACTGCGTGAATCAGGCCTTCATGGTCGAATTGCTGCAAAGAAACCACTACTAAAGAACATCAATAAGAAGAAGAGACTTGCTTGGGCCAAGAAACACGAGCAATGGACATTAGACCAGCATGGCTACCACAGCATTCTGCAGCGATACGCCATCCCATCTTGTTTGGGCTTAGTGGGACTATCATTTATTTTTCAACAGGACAATGACCCAACACACCTCCAGGCTGTGTAAGGGCTATTTTACCAAGGAGGAGAGTGATGGAGTGCTGCATCAGATGACCAAATTGAGATGGTTTGGGATGAGTTGGACCGCAGAGTGAAGGAAAAGCAGCCAACAAGTGCTCAGCATATGTGGGAACTCCTTCAAGACTGTTGGAAAAGCATTTCAGGTGAAGCTGGTTGAGAGAATGCCAAGAGTGTGCAAAGCTGTCATCAAGGCAAAGGGTGACTATTTGAAGAATCTCAAATATAAAATGTATTTTGATTTGTTTAACCCTTTTTTGGTTACTACATGAGTCCATATGTGTTATTTCATAGTTTTGATGTCTTCACTATTATTCTAGGTGTTCTAAAACTTTTGACCAATAGTGAACATATCGTTAGGATCGTAAGAAAATCCATATGTAAATTGTTAGGATCTTAAGAAAAAGCATGCGTGAAACATAAAACGTAAACGTGAAATTTAAT